TCATCAAGCAAAAATATATAAACTTACTCAGCATGCATTATGTTGCTATACATATACATTTTAATATATTACATTGATCAACGAATTTTATTCGAATTCAAATGATAAGGCGGTAGGAGGTAGAATATCTTTTAATAGACCTAATCTAAACCATGGAGACAATGGCATATTACCATGGAGACAATGGCGTATTTTAACGCTTTTAGAATTATGATAAGATCGACGGAAATTATTTTTAGCTGCCGTGAATTTAAAACTGTTTCGTTAATCAATAAAACATCATTTTGAACACATCTTCGGTGAGTTTGGAAAGGGTTGTTTTTGCTTTTTCAGTATTTGTTTAAATTATTAAAAATAACTTATTAGCGATAAGCGTGACCCGATTTCCTTTAGAAAATGCAGACACGCACGTTTTCACCCGTTTTGTATGATGTGCCGATCCAAGTGTGTAGCATCGTAATTTTGCAAACAGCTTCTGCTCAAAATAACAGTTTGGCCAAGATATCCAGTCAGGTGTATTTAACTAACTTATGCTAGATCAAGGCAATTATAATCATTTTCTGTTCAACTAGTAATTTTTGTTGTTTTCATCATGATCAATTTGATCAGTATTTTGTTCAAAATGACCAGTCAAATTGACGAAAACAGTCATCTCGGGCAAATATATGTTAAAAAAATGCATATGTGAATCTATTTGTTCAGTCTGATGAAACAGTATGCAGGATTTTATCCACGATATGTACAGACTCACACAGTCACATTCTGGGTTTTAGCATCTCGTGAAGCTTCAGCTATAATGTTATTGACAACGGCGAATTAAAAGTGGGAAGATAATATACCGCTGTTAATGTACGTACCCTTCTAATATTGATAACCAAAGATCATGATATCTACAGAATCTCAAAGCGTGAACTTTACGCACACTTCGAGTTTCGCCTTAATGGCGGAAGACACATGTACAGTGTCTGTTTACTTTAACTGTCGTAGCCTGTAAGCAGTGTTGACATCGTGTGTAGTGGGCCGAGAGTTTTATAGACAGCCGACATAAATATGTGTCTATCACCAGCCAGACATAGTATTATCTGCTATCTAATCTTGGGAGAGTGGAACTAGTGTACATACACGTAAACGTAAATACACCAGATATTGTTTGTCAAATAGTGACTTTAAATAATAGGGTTCGTTGAAAGTAAAACATTTGTTGCTGGTGTTGAACATGACATACTTCAGTTGATTAGAAAATAAAACCTATAATAAATTATGTGGATGTTGAAATTGTGATAGGGATATTTTGTAGATATCGCATGATATAAGATGAGGAGGTGTTATTAATCTCTTGTAATTAGTTGTGACTAATAGCATAAAATTGACATCTTCGAGAAAAAAAATAGTATTTTACTGAAATACGATTTCGTTATGACCTAAGTAGTTACAAGAAAACGAAATATCCCAAAATAAAAGTCTCATCATTTCTTTCTTCTTTTTCACATTAGTGAAATTCATTGTTAAACATACTTGGACATGTAGCTTGTAGTTCGCCTGTTCATTTTTGAATTTTATTTGGACATGTAACATGTAGTTCGTCTAATGTTAGTTTCTTTTTGCTTAACTAATGTGAGCAAGTTCACAAGAACAGATATTTATTTATTTTAAACTTTTTTATCTTCCCCTCCGTCCTCCGCAAATAGAACCACAAGAACTGAAACGCCACAAACAGCTCGTTTTCTTCACGTGAGAGTGATATTTGTAGTAACCCGCTTCTAAATATTGTTTCAGCACATGTGTGAATTTATGTAAGATAATATAAAGAAAATACAGTAAAAATACTGGCACAAAACTATTGATGACATTTAACAAAACCATCTATGGGATAGTACTTTTATTGCTTAATGTAATAGCAAGATTTCGAGGAAAGTAATTGAATTCATTTTCGAACATGTCACAGTCTAATTGGGACTGTTTGGTTATTGAACGTATATTTACTTGAAAGTACAGTAGACTTCTTCGTTCAAGTAACATTAATAGAATTATAAACCAGAAGTAAGATTATGAAATAGGCCAGGAAATATACCACTAAAAGTTCTAAGGAGGCCCAGTTACTTGGTTATTTTTAGAAAGTAGGTCCTCTTTCGCTGGTAAAAATTGAGTAATGGCAAAGGTTAATTATGTGACGTTATATATGTAAGTAAATCTTTTAGCTTTGCAATGTGGTTCTATGTAAATGCGCGGAAGCGTGTGTGGTTGGGCTGTGATGTTTTATCGGCGTGTGTGTTGGGGGGGGGGGGCACTGTAATAAAACCGAATTGATTGGATTAACTTGGAAAAGCCGCATTCCGAACGAAAACTCAGAAACATGAGTGTCATCGACAGGAAATGTTCTGAAAATGTTTAAAACCGAAAATCATATAGTACAAAAAAAATGCTGAAAGAGATAACAGCGAGAGGTTTTATCTCGAAAAGTTTAACACTGAACAGTGTTTTCTTTTAATGGAATATCGCCGAAAAGGTTAATAAAAGACGTGTGAGATGATCCAGAAAGGCACAGCATTACACATATATCAAATAAAAAATTAACTTAATTCCCTGTTTGATCAATAGGTGCCGCTTTTATCGAAAACCATATACCTTTTACAAATGAAATCTAACTTATTAGGAAAATGATCTGATTTGTAAGATATTAGTCTAGAACTATAACAGCCAAAATTCAAGAACAGTGTAAGAAAAACTGCCTACATTACATCAGATCAAATAGTTAGTCCCCCCCCCCCCAAAAAAAACGTGTTTTCCCCTTTTTTCTTCTTTTTTAATATTAATTTAGTCAGCCTTTTTTAGTTCTATGCTAATTTCAATCTGTAGGTTTAATTTAGTCATTAGGTCTTTGTCAACTCAATTGAAATGGTGAAGAATTGTAGTCGTGTGTGTTACTAAAATTCATAGTCAAGGTAATAAAATGCATTATTCTCTCTTTATTAGCAGAATCTCTATTGCTTCCTTGATCTTGAGTTGAATTAATGGCATACACTCTACATATTATGTGCAAATACAGCAATATAGAGAATGTTTTTTGTTGGTCTGCATCTATTAAATTTTCCTCGTAATTTCAGTGATGGGTAGATGGATATACATTTTCGAAATATAACTAAAAAAATCTTTTAATAAAAATCGGAAACAGGAGAATGTTACAAAATGATTTTGTAACACTGTTTAATCATTATTTTCCAGTAGTTTTTGAATCAATATTAAACATGAATGGCTCATTTATAACTATATTTACTTATTTGTTGTTTTTTGTGTGTAGCAGTTTTATTTTGTTTGAGTATAGATGTGGTTGTAAAGTAGAACAGTTTGGTTATGATTCAACATTTTATGTGTTTTTGTGAAGTGATGTTTTCCTGTTTGCTACCTAGAAGCACTTGCTTGAAATATACATGCATAATATTTTACTAATTGGTGTACCTGTTCACCTCATGGTGAAGACTTAGGAGCTTCCAAGAGGACATAGAGGAGCCAGATCTGAATGTTAATTGTTTCTCACTTTTCATGTTATGTGACTATTGGTCCCAGTAATTCACCAGTTATAAGTGGACACAATGCACAGGGAACATATAGAAACCCCTGGAATGACATAGGGACAGATCCAAAATGCCAATCACTCTGTGTCACTCCCAGGGGAGCACTAAGGGTGCTTACTAAGCTTGGGGACAACTAGTCCAATGGTTTGCCTGCTAAGAGAAGACACACACACACAGGCTTTTGTCAAATAATGGTTTAGATAATTAAAATATATGTCATAGAACCTGGAAAAAAGTGTATATTTTGAAGTGAAGGAAGAGAAGAGTACAATAAACATAAGTCTTACAGGAAAGCTTTGTAACTACCGTATTTTTCGGTGTATAAGATGCACTTTTTACCCCAAAATTTGATGTCAAAATCTGCTTGCGTCCTATACACCGAAGGTATGAATAATATATATGTATATATACGATATACACAAGCCATGTGTAAATATATTTAAATAGGCATGCATAGTTTAGTTCAGTTGAATGTGTTGTTTATAACAATAGTAGTTTTTTTTTCTTTTCTTTTAAAAACATAACTATTTATAATGCTCCCTAAATAATAAAAAAATAAATTATAGTAATGGATGAGAGTGAAAAATCATGTAAATACACGACAATCCCTGTTTGATGTGGAGCAGAATAAGGCCATTTCAGACCTAACTTTAACAAATAAAAAATAGTTTTTGAATGCTTGCCTTGGATTCAAATGTGCAATGCGCTTGACCAATCAGAGCGCTTAATGCAATTAGCGTCGGTAATCGCCTAATTGGTATTTCAATTTTCACTTGATACTCGGCAGTCTGGCAAGTTGAATGCGTTACCGAAAGCCGAAGTACCGTATCTTAGGCCTTGGGAGCCTTCTTATAAAAGAGAGCTTACTTATTCATAAAACTGAGGCCAAAATTCAATCAGGCTAGTTCGGTTTCTAATGATCCATCCATTGCTTCTCTTTGACTTTGAATCCTCTTTTCTGTCCAAGAGTTGGTTGTGAATGCTATTAACTAACTGACTTCCATCTTGCTTGTCACTTCAAAATTAGAGACAGATATTCACAGATAGCTCTTGTGTGGTTTTGTTCAAAATTCTAAAACAAAACAATCTGTAAGAGATTATTCTTTGTATGACCATGTTTTGATATCATTGGACTGTACTTAAGTCGAGAGGTACAGACACATGTACAAGTTAGTATGGGTTGGTGATTTATCACCCTAAAAATTTATAGTAAAAATGTTTACTTTCCTTTGCTGTTCACTTTTAATTTATTTTCTGCTTACTAATCCTAGAATCTATCATGTATTGAAAATTATGTGTAGCTAACCTGTTAGAACTCAGCATACCTGAATACCACATCATTACAGTTAGAATTCAGTGTGCTTTTTTGACTATGATAGGTATCAAAGTTGAAATGTTGTTTTTGAAAGCACATGGTTTATTTTTCAGAGTCCTTAAAAAGAATCAAATCAGAGTTATAGAAGATGGAGCATTTGAGAACTTAACATCTCTAGAGAGTTTGTAAGTTATCATTTTAAAAATTCTTTTTCATTTTCATTTGATTGCTCATATGTTTGATATTCATGTAGTTTCTTTGAGGGCATAAGGTTTCTAAGGTCTGTCTTGCAAAACACAGTTAAATTTGTTTTAATTAGTTAGAACTGAATGTAAGCAGTTGACTCTTGTATTATTTGTTAAATATTTATTTATTTCTTTTGCCCAAGTAATTCAACTTGTATGGATGCTATAATGATGTTAGAATTCAGGTATTGTAGTGCACACTAGAGTGCAAATATGTTTAATGAAGAGAAACAGCCAGCATCCAGTGAAAATTCTTTATTTCCTTAACATTTCACCTTAGGACTTTATCAAGAAGTAGATACCCTACTGAATACAAGCCCATTATTAATATGACAAACAGCTTCTGTTAAGACTCGGCTTGTGTTCAATAGGGTATCTACCTGTTGATAAAGTCCTAAGGTGAAATGTTAAGGAAATGAATAATTTTCACAGGATGTTGGCTGTTTCTTGTTACAATAATGATGTTGGGCCTTGTGGTTAGGGTACTTGATTTGTGATCTGCAGGTTGCAAATTTGAATCCCCATCACTGAACATTCTTGTTCTGTATGGTTACCAACTGGACCAGCCATCTGGGTGTAAATATTATTGGCTTACAAAATACTAGCCAACCCCAAACATGTTGGGATTATGGTTGTAATGGAAAAATAACATAAAAGAATGATGTAGATCAGAAAATTTCAAGCTGAAAATTCATGTATGTATTGTTTTAAAACTGAATTAGTTTATTATTAACAAATATTAAAACAATTAAAAATTCATCTTTTAAACGGATTTCTTTAGAAAAAAGTTACAGGAACTATATAATTTTCCTGTGTGAATACAGTGCCAAATGTGACCAACGGACAAACAATGCAGTAGTATTAGGACACATTAAGTCAGTTTTGGAATAACATTATCCAATACTTTTAAGCATTTTATCCATTTGAGTAAAACAAAGCAATTGGCGTAGCACAGGAAGGTAACATGCATGTGTCAAAAATGAGTTTTGGGGTTGAAAAATGTTATTTAATCCCAGAATGGGACCAAACTAGAATTAATTAATAGCGATTATGAAAAATTGATTTTTGATTTTTTTGTTTTTAACAATTATATTTGTAGAATCCCAAAACGTTTATCTGTGTTCCCATTTGTTGTAAATAAACAATGTTGTTTAGGCCAAAAATATAATTCTGTTTGTTTGATGTTGGTGGCTGACCCACAAAAAATGGCCTGACTCAAAAAGTTTTTTAACAATTTGATCCACCTCTTTCTTTTACCTGTCTGGTCATTTCATCACATAACCTTTTTGTTCTTTAGTTTTCTGAACGTTACTTGTCATCTTAGGATCATCTTTAAAATATTTATAAATCAACAAACATTTTACACAAAACATATCGGCTGCTTATGCGATTGTTTACATGCATCGGCAGTACACTTCCTGTAAATGTGCACAAGGATATACACAGTGAATGTAACCATTTGAAACGTTTCCCAGCATACAGAGTAAAGGCGTTGCTAGTTGCTGTCTTTCCAGAGAAGTAATATAATGTTATGCTGTAGTGTCACTGATACTACAAATTCCTGCATGTAGTGTCACTGATACTACAAATTCCTGCATAATCATTTAAGCTTTGAGAATGCACCATTTCTGACTTCTTTATTAAAACGTTCCAGTTACTGCTGGCAACCTGAGGGGAAAAAATATAGCTTACCTACCTATCCATACCTCAAAGGGGTGAGTAGGCAACATCAAACAAACAATTCTTTAAGCTTGGCCATGTCTTAAGTATCATCCTTTTTATTGTGCAAATTCCATGCTTAGTTTTATTTGTTATACACTAGTTTGGAAATTAATAGGAGACTGGTCAAAATTAGACAAAAACTGAAAAAGTATTATATACATTAGAAATTTATAAAATAAACATAACATTCTGAAATGCTAAGAGTAACTTTCAGGCATTTGTAATATTTTATGTTAGTTTTAACTAAAGAGTACTTATATCTATATTAATAAAAGTTCCAGTTTAAACTTTTTGGTAGCATTTTATCTTTAACATAAGCAAATTGAAATTTTGTGGAAGGCCATATTTGACATTAACCATATAATATTCTCATTAGGGATCTCTCGGACAATAAAATTGGAACCATAACACCAGGAATGTTTAGAGGTTTGTCATCACTTCAGCGTTTGTAAGTACTGTTGTTAATATTTCTCATAAAACATTAAAACAATCATGAACTTATGATTTTTTTACCCATAAGCTCATTTTCAGTACTAACCAGTAGTGACTCACAACTAGGAAAACTGCTTTAAAGATATTAGGTTTCCTTAGGACTTTGGTAGAAGTTACCTACAGCTATTCTATATGCATTGCCATTGACAACTTTAAAGTTGTTTGGATTGAGTAGCTTAGAATTATTCCATACAGATGAGCTGTGACAATCAGGAAGAGATGTTGTTTGTTTCTAGCTTAAATGCTAGTAGCATAGAACTGCAACTTATAGATGAATGACAGCTAGGATGAGATGTTACTTGTTTGGAGCTTGAGTACTAGTTGTATAGAACTACAACTTATAGATGAATGACAGCTAGGATGAGATGTTACTTGTTTGGAGCTTGAGTACTAGTTGTATAGAACTACAACTTATAGATGAATGACAGCTAGGATGAGATGTTACTTGTTTGGAGCTTGAGTACTAGTACTGTAGAACTACTACTTATACACAGCATGGTCACAAGTAAATAGACACCACCTTTTCAGAAAAAATGACATTTTTCAGTCATATTCACATGAATTGATATATTTATAA